CATCGACAAGATAATATTTACCTATTCCACACATGGTTGTTAAGTTGTTGTTCTTTATTGAAAGAGGTGAAAGAAAAATTATTGAACAAGAAGTAGATCTCACCAACATGAATTGTTAGCCTATGACCTTGTCGTAAAGTTGCATTTTTTAACAATTGATTGTTGTGGGCGGATCCCTCCCAACCGAAAAGCACATACGTAAACTTTATATCAAATGTGCAAGCGACCAAAATATTCTGAGTTATCATTTGCTTCCTATTGCGATACCTCGCTTGTTCCTCTACGGGGACATATGCAGGAATGTGAGTGCCATCAATCGCCCCCACGAAATCCTAATATGAAAACCAAAAAGTTTGGTTACAAAAGAAATATTGATAGTAAAGGAAAAATAAACGAAATTCAATATTACCACCTGACCTGAAAATATTGGAACCATGGCTTCACCTTATCCTTCTCGTATGGTGAGTTATGAATAGTGGCATTGTTCACCACGTCTCTGTACAATCCAAGGCAAGCCTGTAAAACCCTATGGAAATAGTAGCTCACTGTTTGACCTGACCTAAAGAACGTAAAACTCCCAGTTCGATTATGGTGGTCATGTCCAACGGTGTTGAGAAATATAGCAACTTGTTCTTCTACTTTGACAGATCTATTATCGACCAAGCCATACATTCGTAAACGAGCACATAATCTTTCAAACGGAGCTATCTTCATCCTCAGTAGATCATGACAAATTCTATCACTCATACCAAACATTCGTGTAAGTGTCATTTCTCTTTCAGAATCCCAATTTCTATGTGGGGCTCTAGGAAGTTGTCGATTACGACGCCTGACGGTATTATATATTATAATTACTTGCATGACCGTCGTCCAAAATAATCCTAATTGTTGTCTTTGGCATCGACGTTGATTCGTTCTGGTAGCCATGGTACTTAGAACAAAGTCTCAAAAGTGTTAATATGATGTAAATTATTGTTGACAATGAACAAAAAATGAAAACGAATATAGTTAATGCGAAAATACAAGTACACATAAGCGAACCCACATAGAGACAATCAAACACATTCTTCATTTAGAATGCTATTTAACAAATTGATGCAAATAATAAAAATAGTCATTTGATATTGGTACATTCATTTGAGTTTTGAGGGACCTAAAATTTTCTTACTGTTCTCCTCTGAAATTAGTTAAAATCAACCCTCCGTCTCTCTCTCACATTCTTAATTGTTTTTTTCCTTAAATGTGAAGATTTATTTGTTATCTAAATTTTTGACAAACCTATATCTTTCTTTGTATACTGGTTGCATATGATCTTCTAATGTGAGGATTTATTTGTGCTTTCAAATAGTCATTTACCTCATTTTCAAAATAAAAATAAAAATATAAAAAAATAGTCATTTATCTCAGATGCATAAGCTAATGCATTATAGAAAAAAGAGAATACACATGATAAATTCTGATAAAATCATTCTTGGACTTTTATGGATTAAAAAGATTTTCATTTGACAGTGAGATCTATCAGAATCTAGTGGTAAGAAATCCATGAGGCTGCAAATTATATTGTTAATAAAGCTTTTCTTTTCTCTTCAAATCATATTTTTTTAGTGATCTAGACATGAGGAAAAGTTTATCTTTCTGCATTTTGTCTCTTGTAAAGTTCTACTTTATGTTCTGCCATTTACCCTATTAAAAAAGCTTACACCATACCCAGATATAAGCACAACAAGAAAATATAATGTTCCAATCTGTTTTTTTCTATGCTTTCCTTTTGTGGACTAAACAGAGAATTGAATCTCTTGCTATGTCAATTTCAATTTTTTTCAAACGAACTTACCAATTCCATAGACGAGTGTATTTATCCAATTATATCTACCACGTGTCTAGAAAATCTATTAAAATGGGTAAGATTTTCATTTAAAAATGTCAAATATTTTCTTATAATGAACTCATAAATCCTACAAACCAGTTGCATCTTGCTGTATAATCAGGGACTAGAGCTAATTTTAAACTCCTCCTTTCACTTTAACCTTATATCCTTCAGGTTTGTAAAATCTGTCACAAATAATTGCTTCCTTCTTTAACATTAAATAACACAAATATATGTTTGCAATAATATGACAGTTAACGGGAGTTCTTCTTTAATATTAGTACACATAGATATCTGCCTAACCTAAAAATATGCTCTATGAGGAATAGTAAAAGGGAAAGATGAACCCGAAGATATCAAATATGAATTAGAACAGCTTCATTAACATGCATATAGTTAACTGTTAAAATGTTAATATGATAGCATCTAACTCAACAGCAAACTTGTAACGTCATTCCTTTCAATCATAATGACATGATAAATTTGTTCATCAGATTTCATGAGGTAAGTAAATAACATCAAACACAGTTGCACTGCACAGAACAATACTAATAAACAGCTTGCAGATTTAATGTTTGGAACTTCTAATTCCCGTTTCTGCTGCTAACCGATTTGTATTTTATGTGCTTCCAAAAGAAAAACAAAAAAGTATAGACATTGAAAGCATTTGCATACTGCTGAATCTTATTCTAGGGTCAACTTTTCGGCCTCAAGTTGATGCACTTGTTTAGTATCTAAAGGTAAGCATCTGATATCATGCATGTAAAAGTAAATACTTTGGCCAAAATTTAGTAAAATAAGAGTTACTTTCAATAAAAGGAAATCTTTGTTATCCATACGTTCAGTGACTAAAGTTACTTGAAGCAAAACTTAGCCAAACTTGAGGTAATAATTAACTCATAGCTTTATTGAAGCAGCCTAAGCAACTAAAGAGACAATAATGAAACATAAGATAATAAGCACAATACTGCTTCTCATTTGTAAAGGCTAGGAATGGGAGTCGTATGAATAAATGAGACCTTACCAAGTAGCAAAGAAGTCAACCAATACTGGTCTAAATTCTCTAACACATCAACAAAAGAAGATAATGTTTGTTGTTTCGCTTCAACCTGATCATAAACACATTAATCGGACTTAAAATACAAAATTTATCAAAGTATGATACAGGGAAAGCTCAAACATGTTGGCTCCACCTCTCTCTCAAGCATTTCATCAAACATTTGTCTACATTTATCACACTCACCCTTCTCAAACCACAATTTCATCATAATGTTAAAGGAAACAGAGTAGAATCTAAAACCCAATTTATGACCATCCCTAAAGAGCTCAGTTGCATCAATGACTCAATCATTATCAACCAAAACATTCAAAATCATATTACACAGCAAAAAACCAGAAATCTTGAAATCCATAACAAAAAAAAAAAGCGCATTTTCACTCACCCGAAAGCTGGAAAAACGAAGCAACAGAAAAGCGTGCAATGTTGGTGGGGATTATGTCGATAATTTTTGGGTCGCCATCGTCGATACTCCAGAAACTTGAGCAGTTCGACGGTGAGAAATGGGAATGGGGAGTGCGGTGACAAGAAAGAGAGAGGGAAATAGGGTTTGGCGAAAATGGGTTTGTTTCATAGTCAATGAGGAAATGGTGGGCAATGGCTGCCCCACTCGGTATGTTTTCCATAATAGCTTTTGACCAAGTTATTTGTTAAAAAAAAAAAATGTAAACAAAATGTGTAGGGTCGAAAATACCCTCATTTAGAGGAAAGAAGAGAAGAGAAAATAGAGAGAAAAAAGAAAAGAAAAAAGGGAAAAATCAGCTACCGACCGTCGACGTCGCCTACGGACTGCCCGGACCTCACCAAGACTAGAGCCACCTCGGATTCGCCGGAGACCGTCATTTTCTTGAAGGTTAGACATGTTTTCTATAAATAACTACTTTGAATTTGTGAAAGTTTGAATGTTTAGGATATGAATATGGGTTAAATTCATGTTTCTATAGTTAAAATGTAAGAAAATATCGAATTTGAGGTTAAAATCTTGAAAAAAAAGGGCGGAGCTCGCCGGAAATGGAGTTTCCGGCGAGCCCGCCGGTTTGGTCCGTTACGGACCAAACCGTTGGTCCGTGGTCCGTAGCGGACCGTGGTCCGTAGCGGACCAGACCGGACCCGGATTTGGTCCGGGTCCGGCTAACCGGCCCAAATCCGGGTCCGTCAAATATATATAATTTTTTTTTTTTTTGTTGTGTGTGTGTTGTTAAGAAATAAAATGAAAAATAAAAGAAATAATTTATTAAGAAAATTAAAGAAATATTTAAAGATAAATTAAATTGAGTTTTAATTTTTATTCTTTTCTACTTAAATATACTCTTCAAATAAATAAAACACATGATTAACGAAATATTAAAAGAATAAATTAAATTGAATAATATTTTTTTACCTAACCAATTAAGATAATTAATTAAAGAAATAGTGAAACGAGAAATCGAATAAATATTATTATTTTTATTCAAATAAATAATCGAAATAAATAATATACATAAATAACGAAATATTTAAAGAATAAATTAAAAACAATACTTTTTTTACTTAAACGAACTAAGATAATGAATTAAAGAAATTGTAAAAGGAAAAATCGAATAAATATTATTGAAATAAATAATCGAAATAGAGTAATTAAATATGAAATAAATAAAACACATTATTAACGAAATATTTAAAGAATAAATTAAATTGAATAATATTTTTTTACCTAACCAATTAAGTAATTAAATAAAGAAATAGTGAAACGAGAAATCGAATAAATATTATTATTTTTATTCAAATAAATAATCGAAATAAATAATAGACATAATTAACGAAATATTTAAAGAGGAAATTAAATTAAATAGTATTTTTTTACCTAACCAAATAGTGAAACGAAAAATCGAATAAATATTATTATTTTTATTCAAATAAATAATCGAAATAAATAATATACATAATTAACGAAATATGTAACGTATAAATTAAATTGAACAATATTTTTTTTACTTAAACAATTAAGATAATTACTTAAAGAAATAGTAAAAGGAAAAATCGAATAAATATTATTGAAATAAATAATCGAAATAGAGTAATTAAATATGAAATAAATAA